AAGGAAAATCTCATCCATGCCATCCATGGCAAAACTAAAAGACAGCAGATCGTGTTTCATAACTAGATGACGTGTATTTTATAAATGCGTGCAGCTCGTGCAAGGTGAAATTATGCTAATTTCAATCACCATCATCCTTCTTTTCAATTTTGAAAAAAAACATCTCATACGTCTTTCTGTTTCTTCGAAACTTCAAAATTAGCTTCCCCTCAGTTTTTACTGTTTACCTTGTTTTGTTTTAGAGAGAAAAGCGGAAAAAAACCTTACAACTAACCTCAATAAATTTTGTTTACATGCGGTTGCCGGATTTGGATGCATTGCGCGAATCACCATGGCGCGTTGCACCCGAGAAGCAAAGTTTGAGGCAGTACAACGCCGCTATATCAAAATATATCAATCTAATTTTTTGTTATGTTATATAAAAGTTATCCCCCTTTAACATATGTGAAAATTGAGGTTAAGAAATGTTAAGCGTTTGCAAACGAAACGGCGAAAGACAATTAGGTGATATTTAGTGGAAGGAGGAGTTATTCAACTCTTTCAAATTTTGGCATTATACGACCAACAAGTTTGACTTATAGGCATACAGACACAAACATATGAAACTGTTTATTGATATCGTTATGAAACGATTTTATCTATTCAACATTGTGGCCTGAAATTACTGATAGAAAATAGGATTTCCGGTTTGCAAGAAGGAAAATTTCGCCGGCCTTCAAGCGCACCGGAAGCGCGGAAAGAGCGCTCGTGCCAGTCCTACTCCGCATCACACATTGAATGAGGAGCGGAGCGCTCGTTTCACCGCCCAACATTTGTCCGTCCTGCTTCGGACCTTCTATCAATCGTAATCTGATCACGCGTGTTTTGACCATCTATCACGTGAAAACTTACGCAAAGGGTATCCTTGGAGCAAGAGCGTTTTGACCTTCCATCGTTAACGCCCGCACTCCGCAACCTTCGGTTACTACCGCTCAAACTAATAAGCCAACAAATCTTCGGCAATATTTGTTTTGTCCGCCCTGATTCTGTAGCTAGGTTGCGCTGATGTCCAGAGTTAACTGCTATGGTTGGCCGTTTATTGCAACATTCAAGATTCCATTCCATTCCCTTCCATTCCACTCCGGCCAGTGATGATAAAACTGATTAGTAATGATTTATGCAACGGAAGGCTGGAGCACCCTCCTTTGTGAAATAATTTTAAACCGGAATAAACTCTGGCGAATCGAAGTGAACCGTCTTCCCCACCCCCCGATCCATTACTAAGCATTGTAAAACGAAGAAAAAAGTTCTTGCTGATTTAATGAATGCCGAATGCTACAGTGTTTTTGAGAATTGGTGACATTAATGCAGTGACGTTTTCGTTTGATAAACACGGAATTTTTCATTGGGATTATTTAAACTCCACTGGAAGTTCAGAAGCGTTTTAGTCGAGTTCAGGGAGTTTTTCAAGCGGATTATCTTAGCTTTTGTCGTCATATTTTGTTTCTTTCGCTGATCATGAACTTGAAAATGAAGACGATATGCACAAAATGAGTTTTTAACACATGCTCGTAAAATACAAATAATATTTTTTGATGTGTCTATTTTCAAAAACCAATCAACCTATTAAAACCTTTCTTCGTGGGAGGTAAATTTTTTCTAGAGGTTTTTGAGCGGCATTAAGCACCAGCTATGTGAGAACATAGCCTTAGGTTAAGATTACATTATACCGGTTATCCTCTGGACCGGCACGAAATTCATACTGGATACCAGGCTTCTGTTTACACATAACGGAACGGTAATTATTTGGGTGCGATTTCTGTAACGGAAACGAGGCTGCGCAGCGCCGATCTCTGAAGTGGATAGCTTTTCGTGTCGGCAAGAAAACTGAGAAATTTTAGCTATCCAGTAGTCTTCACTGAAAATTAATTTTCTGCTTTAATGGACCCCATGCATGTGCCAAGCGCTATTTTTTTTTAATTAACATTTTCAATCATTAAGTTTCTAACAGTTAGTTTCCAAACATGACTGATATCTACTCAGTGTCCACGCTTTAGTTAATTATTAACTAAATTTTCACCGAGAGAACTAGCTTCCACTCTGTTAGAAAGATTAAAATTTGAGTAACTAGCTGAGTAACTAGTGCAAAGTCTCCAAAACAACCTAAAATGGCCATTCGTATTTTTTCTAAAAAGCTTTTCAGGAAAAGCAGCCCTTACCTTTAATATTAATCAACAGATCATTGAAATATCCTTCTTGAATTACGCGCCAATTTAACTTATACCCCAACTTAAACAGAAATTAGCCAGAGAAAACAAACTTTAAATCTTGGGTAACTGGGATAAAAAGTTCTAGAAGACCATAGTAACCCTTAATGTGTTTTGTTTTTCATCACCCGACCGACGTTATTGTTGGGAAAATTAGAAAAAAAAAAGAAAAGAAAATAATATACGTAATATAATTCCTTTTTAGTAATCCACCAGCATAGCTTCTCTTAATCCGTTTGAACTTAGACGTAGTTAACTTCATTTTCAAATATAATCCATTCTTATTCGGTATTAAAAAAAACTTCAACATCACATTTTCACGAAAATGTGAAAAGAAAGTCCACGATGCAGTGCGGAGCGCAACTGAAGTAATCGAGGAGTGAAGAACTCTTACAGTAACATCTCATAGAGTGGTAGCTCAGAATCTCTCTTCTTCTGTACATGGTGAAATACGAAATAAATTAAAAAAAGGATAAGATAATAAAAAGCGATAAGCTAACATTTATCGGCAGTAGATTTGTTTTGTTTGTCTGTTTGTTTTTTTTTTTTTACTTAGAGGGAATCCTACAGTTGTAAACAATTTGAACAATATAAAAAGTCAGAATGTATGCTATTAAATAATTAAAAACTATTCAACAAAGGTCGACGTCAAGCCGTTTAACTGATGACTAATAAGCTCGGCTGACATTTTCTGCTTTTCCTTGAAAACTGTCCGATCGCGATCGGGAGCGGTTCATTCCCAGCCAAGGCCTTCAGTATGGCAGGTCGTTTAGCTGTGTTAGCGCTCTTGCTGGTTTGTGTTGTTTGGGGAGCTTGGCTAAACTATGTTGCAAGTGCTCGCGTTGATGAAGGTGAGGTACAGATGAACTATTTTTTCAGGTTTTTTCTTCGCCGAACTACATCTGATTCAGTACGTTGTTTTTCTCAGTTGCGGCTTTAGTTGCGGAAATGTTCTTTACTATTATTTCAGCTATTATATACTCAAAAAGACCTTGAGGGGTCGTAATTTGTCATGAAATATTTCAGTCGCTGCAGGCCAGACATAAAAATTGCCGAAGATTTTGTCAGTCCGCGCCGACCAACCCAAGGCACTCAACCACGGTTTCCTCCTAAGTGCATCGAAAACACTTCTTAGGCTATCCAGAGTACTTTTAGATCTCTAGAAATGCATTTTAAGCGGCGCTATGGTCATCCTAGGGTAACTTGGGTCTTTTCGAAATTACAAGTCATTACGTGAAAGGCTTCAGTATTATTTTCCCGAAAATTTTAGACGCATTTTTAAGTATTACGAAAGAAAGAATTTTTTGATTACTCTGTCCATCACATTTTCGAATCCGCAGATTTTAGGTTTACTTTTTTGTACAAGGGAAGTGAAATGCGAAAAAAGTAAACTTTTGAATTGAAAATCCAAGAATGGAACGGTCATCTAACAATGTTTAGCCTTCCTCAAGCTATAGAAAATTCTAGGCAATATTTGCTTCTCCGAACAGATATTTTGTAGAAAATAGTTGTTGGGTGCCCCTGACCAACCGTTACCTGAACCGAGAGCCGCTCGAGTTGTACAACCTAAGTATATATTTCACGCATGCGAATTTTTTCAGTCGGGCTTAACAGAGATTTCGCCATCTCGGGAGAAACTTTTAAAATCATCGTGTTGAAACACATGCCGTTTGAATGACGCTTTGCCAGTGGCCTGCTATAAGTGAGGCTATGATCTAAGTTGCCTAGTGGTTTTATAAGTGAATGTGAACTGAAAGCGACTGAGCCAGGCTCGACTGTCTGATCGCAATTAAATGTGGTGGAGTTTTCCAAGCCCCAAATTGTTCATGAAAACTGGGCCCGTAAAATTAATTGGAAACTTTCTCTTTATTTGCAATGCCTTACAGTTTAGCAAAACGTACTTGGAAAGCACCATATAGATAGTTCGATATATGTAGCTCACGCACACTGGTATGGCCACTTTCTGTTAAAAGTTTATAGAAAGGAGAAGTCGTTACGTCACTTTGCCATGGTAGCAAAAGTTTTGAATGACAAACCGAAAAAGTCACTTAAAAGTCTATTCGCACTATTTCAAACTTCACTGACCTTATTCAATTTTATTTAATTTGGCAAATTAGGGCGAAATTTTCTTTGGGACCATATCTAACGTTATCTAAGTTTAGAAAGTGAAAGGGACAAATTTTTATTGTGTTCACCTACTTTATAAATCGGGCTCGTGAAATTAGCCTAAGGAACTTTTATGTCGTAGTGGTGCAACGACGGCAAAGAAATGTACAAAATAGCGTGATGTACGTGCAAGTTGTTGTTTGTTAATATAGACGTATCATATTTTGCCGAACTCCTTGCCGTCATCGTCGTTGGTTTTGTTGTCATCCAGAAATAGTGCTACCATGGTAACGTGACTTCACACCTCTCATCTCTATTGAGAATGAAATTCAAGTACCGTACACTGAGTGACAAGTGGCCGCAATGTCCATAAAACAAAGTAAATAAATACGCTTGCACCAGCCATGCTTTGCTCGAAATTGTACTTTCATGGAAGTGTGGTGGTTTTTTCTACTGAAACGGGACGAACGCTAGCACTTCAAATGGAGATGAAATTTGAACCTGTTAGGACTTGCCGTAATGTGATTGATATGCTCACCTTTTTTCTACATTGTTCCTTTTCACCCAATTTGGTTGTTAAAAATTAGTAACGATTAGCTTTACATGCACTGCTGACGAAACTTTTGTGTTAAACTAGACGTTGTCTTCAACTGTCAAGGGTTAGAGTAAGAGAAATATGCTCCACCAATTTAAAAATTAAAAGAGTAGGTCACAACAGTACCAATCGTTTCTGTTTTTTTTGTTAGGCATTGTAAAACAGAGAAAAATTCCTTGTTAATTTAATAAATGCATCAGTCAATTGAAATCCCGGCTCCCCGACCACAGCGATTTGGCGGGGAATTTAACATTGGCGGCGTGTTAAAACACCTCTAATTTCCCGGCTCCCCGGGCCAAACAGTTTCATTGTTAAAAGTCCCGTATAACAGGGCACTAGTAGTTCATTAACAAACAACATGATTCAGTTCGGATTAAACAGTATTTGCTGGTCTCAACTGTACTTGTTCCTAAATTCAACCATATTTTTAACTATTTACCAACGGCAGTGAAATTGGACCTCTTTATAATTGACCTACATTCAAATTCAATCATGGTGTGCGTACATCGGGCCGAGGCACACTAGGGAGGGAAAGACCAGGGTCAAAAAATCTACCTTTAAGACCTGAAACAGTGCCATGGAACTAATTCTGCTTATTTTGAAAATGGTTTCTGGGTATCCCCTGGCTACCTTCCTTCACGAGAGGTGCATAGCAAATCGGAGCCGCGCGATGTTCACATGGTGATGTGCATGTCCAAATGTTGTTGCCTTTATTTGAACAGTTACTGCGTTTACACCTCCCTAACAGAACACTGCATATCACACTCAGCAACGTTTGAAAATACAATGATAGAGCTTATGGTTTTCCTCAGTGCTTCATGAAATGCTGTTACTAGGCTTTGTAGATCAGTTGGACAAAAACATATTAGTGCAGTGTCATTGGCAGGTATGTTATTAATAATTACTGCATTTTCACCGCACTCAGCTTCTTGCAAAGGAGATCGAAATTGAGTGTCATTGGCAGGTATCTTATCAATAATTACTGCATTTTTGGCTTCGTTTATTCGAGCCTTGTTCGAGTACCCGTTTTTGCAATTCAATGTAATTTATAGTCGGTTATTAATAATTACTGCATTTTCACCGCACTCAGCTTCTTGCAAAGGAGATCGAAATTGAGTGTCATTGGCAGGTATCTTATCAATAATTACTGCATTTTTGGCTTCGTTTATTCGAGCCTTGTTCGAGTACCCGTTTTTGCAATTCAATGTAATTTATAGTCGGTCATTGAATTCTCTCTTAACTTTATTAATTTCTGTTTCAGGAAATTGCGGTCAAAACAACCGACGCATCACATTTCTGACACCAGTCAGCGGTTTCTACCTTGAAGGACACGTGATTTCAAATCATTCCGTGGAACTAAACCTAGATTGCCAAGACCAATGCGCCCTTGCGAGGGAATGTGTTTCATATAATATTGGTCCAACGATCAACAACAAGTTGACCTGTGAACTCAGTAATTCAGATCACTTGCAGCACCCAGAAGATCTCAAACCAAGAAAAGACTGGATCTACAGAGGCACACAGGTACATGTAGAACGTACAATGGCTCAACCCAACTTTAAGAATTCACTATCCTTATGTAGTAACGATTTGCTTAAATTTTATTTTAAAACGGTATCAGTTATAAAGTTAATGGGTCTACTGGAGATGCATGCAATATAGGTTGGTTCACACTAGCCGTTATACCCATGAGTAAATGCCTGTTAACCACGGGGAAGCAACGTTTCTGGTGTCCGATTTTCCCAAAATGAAATTATTGCTGGGAAAATTTCCATGGATACATAAAAAAGAACAGAAGATGATGATAACAAACTAAGATGTTGATTTTTCCATACACTTCTTTTAAATTAGAATCCTTGCGCCACGAGCCCCTGCCTGAACCACGGAACATGTTACATGGGATATACTGAGAAAAAATACGTTTGTGTTTGCCCAGCTGACTTAAGAGGTGAAAACTGCGAAGGTAAAACGTGTTCTGCTAGCTTGAGTACAACCTTGTATTTGCTAAAATTCTCTTATTTATAACAAGGGTTTATGACACATAATTAAGTATCATGATCAGTGAAATGATGCAAGAAGATCCTCCTGGTCGACAATGGAGAGTTGCAGAAAATGCAATTAATTTCAAGACGCTGTTAAAGTCTAGTTGTTGTGTTTTTTTTTCGCGTTAAAAACTTGCAGGAGAGCGTGCTATTTGTAATTTTTTGTTGCCACTTTCTTGACTTCCATCATTCAGGGTGGAACCCCTCTCTACGGACACCCATATATTCGGACAGTTTCGTTTGTCGTAACCAATCAAATCAGCACCAATCCAAAACTTCCAATGCTCCCCCGCGGGGTAGTGACTAAGAAAGATGGCATCTGGTGCCTTATCACTGATATTTTTTCTCTCCACGGTTTTTCAATTAATTATTACATTACTAAGGAAGCCTTCGCATTGCATTACGCTACCTTCCACCAAGCTCTCTCTCTAGTTGCACGTCACGGCCCTCGTGGTAAAACTAAACATCAAACACGCCTTCCGACACTGCCCAGCCTGCCCGAAGAACCGCGAGCTACTCGGCATCCACTGGCAGGGCAACTTCTACATTCTCCGCCTCCCCTTTGGCTTACGATCCCATCCCTTGCCCCTTGCCCCTTCTTCTTTAATCACTTGGCCGACGCCTTTGAGTGGCTCCTGAAGAACAACTATCACATTCAAGACCTCATGCATGAAATGGATAACTATTTTGCGGTTGGTTCTCCCAATTCTTCGATGTGCACCCACAATGTCGAAACCATCCCTGATGTAGCTTCTCAAGTGGGCATACCATTGACCCCAGACAAACTTGTAGGACCCACCACCCGCTTGGTTTTTCTAAGTATCCTCACCTTTCTTGCTGAATCGTAATTCTTCCCCCCGATCAGCAATATCATCTCCATAAATATAGGTCTCAAAACAGCTCTATACTGCACAGAAACAATTCCAAAGATTTCCCAAAGATACATGTGTACATCCGAACCTGAATTTATCGAGAAAAGCTCAGATCGTTAGCTCATAAAACCGGACCATTCACATAAAGATTTCAAAAAAAGCCAATCACATGTTACCCGGATACTTTAATACATTCTCAATAGTCTCCAGGGCGTTTTATCAGTTCGCTAAGAACCGCATCAGAATCAGAATGTTCTTCGCCCCGGTTTGCCATTTTGACAAAAATAATGGTAAAGTCATATCCATCCGTCTGACAGTTTACAATTTCTATGCGGTGTACCGGGCATATTGAATAATGAGGCACTCGCATGTTGTGAAAATTATCAGTCTAAAATCAATTGGACACTTTCTCTCTGTAGTTGGGTTATCATTCAGCGATTTAATAATTAATAATTTAATAATTGCTAATTAATGGCTTGTGTATATAACTCTGCCTATATTGCAATATCTGTATCACCTCCATCTATCCTTTCACAGATTTTTACTCAACACCTCAACTTCCGACAGTTAACAATTTTTATGCGTAGCACACGACATCTTGAATAATGAAGCACAGCGTTTCTTAATTAATGACTGAAATAAATAACTTAGATCTTTTTCTCTGCTCAGCAGCTGCATTCTTATCCTGCAGCCATTTAAAGAAGGCACACCCTACAGCAACAAGTGGAAATTACACTATTGACTCAGATGGCGAGGGAGATCTGGAGCCATTCTCAGTGTACTGTGACATGACCAACAAGAACGGAGTTGGTGTGACAGTCATAAGTCACGACAGTGAGAGCAGGACTATTGTGGATGGGTATGAAGATCATGGTAGTTACTCACGTGATATTAATTACACAGGAGCACGTCTATCCCAGCTCGCCAGTCTCACCAATGTCTCCTCACACTGCGAGCAGTTTATCAAGTACGAGTGTCAACACTCAGGTTTCTTTTTTTACTCCGGTCCAGCCGGATGGTGGGTGTCACGTGATTCTACTAAGATGACCTATTGGGGTGGAGCATCGCCTGGAAGTGGCAAGTGTGCATGCGGGATGAACAACACATGCGCAAATCCCAACAGAGGCTGCAACTGTGATAAGAATGATGCTGTATGGCGTGAAGACAGTGGTCTCCTTACTGACAAGACAAAGCTTCCAGTAAAACAGCTCAGGTTTGGTGATACAGGTGAAAGTCACGAGAAAGGATACCACACTCTTGGAAAATTCAACTGTTATGGCACAGCATAATCACTTGGGTATCATACAGACAAACTTATCGGTTAATGTCATAATTTATTGTTTTTTAGTGGAGTGTTAAAAGAAGTCTCTAAATACAAGCATCCGCAGCTTAGGGTCAATTAAAAAAAATCTTACCAGTGTAATGTACGAGTTTTCAGACTCTAAAACAATACCTACACTGTACTCTTAGCAAATGATCGCTAAAATACACTCAGGCTTCATTGTAGAAAACATTGGATTGTATTTATAACAGAAAAAAAAACCAGTCAATGTTATTAGCACTCTAATAAGCAGCAAAGCTACGGTACTGTTGCAATACGGTATTGCATAATTCAATTAGCTGACGATTGTTCTGATCGTTTTTCCCAATACGGACCATTCTTTGTTGATATCCAATTAGCTGTAGATCGCGTTAAAATTTAATATTCATTTTGCAGTGTAACTTTGTAGTTAAAACCGTTAGGACGCTGACGCTGAATAAACTTCGCTCGTCAAAAGTTGTCGTGTCACGATATTTTCACGAATTTCTTCATTCTGGAAGCGGAAAGTACATGGGGAAACAGGTACCATGCACGAAAAATTAGATTTTCACAAATTTGCTCAGGGCAAATCATATGGTGCAAACGAAGAGGAAATCAAAGGCAAAGATGGGTAAATACTGCATTTACGTACCGGTCAATTTTAACACGAGGTTGTAAATTCGTAAGCAAATGCGTCATTTGCCATCTTTACTCTTTATTTAACCTTAGTTTGTACTTTTTGGCACGACATTTGCACTAAATAAATTTGGTGTAAATCAAATATTTCGTGCTGACAGCAAGTGCTTTGCGGCCTGAACAACGCCTGAGCGTGAGACCAAAGTTATACTGACTTCGTTCGCTTAATACACCTCCGAAGTCTTAACGATTTTGCGTTTTGCTTTTTATCGCTACATGATTTAGAATGTGCCATTGCTTTTATGGATTATAAAGCTTTTTTTTTAGTTCCATTTTATAGAAAACTTGCTGTTATAACTGTATTGATATCCAGGACCGGTATGGTTTTGGGCGACTTGGCCCCGATCACGATGTATTTGTTGTGGCTCAATATCATCCCTGGTTTAAATTGTACTTCACTTCGTTCCAAACTCATTACCATGCATTACTATACCCCAAAACAAAGGGAAATAAAACTTAAACCAGGGATAAAACTGAATCACAACGTATACATACGATTGCACGAATTTCGTTGTTAAATTACTACACCTTAATCACAACCGTTAAGGTTTGTGTAACACAGCAAAACCTGCAGTGAGGGGACCGGCCCCTGTGGCCAGACTTGCATGGTCTGTATATGGCATGCCCAATCACGGATGACGGAGTATCTGTTTTGATGAGAGATGTCCGTTATTGAAAGTTCGAAGGTGCACTCTTGTCTTTAAGATAAGAATGTATTTACAGTGTATTTCCATACCCAGGCATGTAACGTTAGGCACTGATGACTCCATACAATTCCTTGTACGATCTAAACAAATATTAGAAGCTTTTATTGGAGTAATCAGAGCGTAATAGTACCACTGAATAAAACGATTTCTTGCATAAATCAGCTGTATTTACGAAACATAAACATGATGAACAAACTGCAAGAATTTACAACGCAAGCGAAAAAACACATGTCGAAAAAACCTAAAGGGGGGTCCGAGCCCCTGAAGACTAACTTAGGGCCTAGTTCCCACGCGTCCGAACAATCCAACGGAACATAAAATTTCAGTTCCGAACATCCTCCCGCCCGATGTAGGGAGTGCATCTTCAAATTGATCAATAATGTTCACATCCAGCTCAATATTTGTCAACGTTCCTTTGTCAGTTCAATTAAGTTCAGCAGCTAGATCATTATCACAGGCTTCAAAAAGGTGTAGCCGCTGCACTGGACGACGGGTAACCCTTCCAGATGTCAATCGCAAGGTAACTGATCGGATAAGACCATCACGACCAGAATGGGTGGCTTCCACACGCGCACGTTGCCACTGACCTCGAGCTAAGTTATCTTCGCTAACAAGGACCAAGTCACCTTTATGTATCTCGCGACCAACTGTAAACCATTTCTTGAGGGGTATCAAAGATCTCACGTACTCAGCATGCCAACGCTTCCAAAATCCATTGACAAGTTTTTGATGATACTGAAAACGTTTAGTGATGGCTTTAGAGGTGTGTTCCGAAACACGGGTGTTCTTAGCTGGAGACGCTTGAAGATTTCTCCCAATGAGAATCTGAGCAGGAGTAATCACGCTGTAGTCCCTAGGGTCTGCACTAAGGTAAGTAAGAGGACGACTGTTCAGCTGTGCCTCAATTTCAGCTAAAATGGTGGTCAGCTGTTCAGCATCCAACATTGCTTTGGCAAAGATTTTCTTCAGAGGTGTCTTTACACTCTTCACAAGACGTTCATAAAACCCACCCCACCATGGGGATCTCTCCATGATATACTTCCACTGAATCTTCCTTTCAGACAATGCGACTTGTGTTTTGTCAGCTTCAAGTACTCTCCAGCATTGCTGCAAATGTTTATTAGCACTCTTGAATGTTTTGGCATTATCTGACCAAATAATACTGCACATTCCTCTTCTTGCCACCATTCGTCTTAAGGCAAGGAGAAACCGCTCCACAGTCATGTTGCTCACTAACTCTAAGTGTATTGCACGGGTAACTGCACAGGTAAATAGACAGATGTTAGCCTTTTCGCCACTGTCTTTTAAAAACAATGGACCAGCAAAGTCCAAACCAACATTAGTAAATGGCGGTGCAGGTTTGATCCTCTCTTCAGGAAGTGGTGCCATCTTCTGCATAAATGGCTTTGTGTGGTAATGGCGACAAACTAGGCAGTTTTTTACTGTCTGACGGACTGTTGATCTCCCTTTGATCAACCAAAATGTCTGTCGTAGGACTGATAAAGTACACTCAACGCCAGCATGGAGTTCACGACAGTGAACATCTTCAATCAGGAGCTTCACAACAGGATGGTTGGAAGGCAAGATAATGGGATGCTTGTCCTCTTCCGGTAATGAAGACTTATGAATTCTTCCTCCAACGCGAAGTAAGCCACTAGTAGGGCACAGAAATGTATTTAAATTTGCTAGCTAGGGACCACCATGTTTAGCCAACGAAGCTACTTCGTCAAAACTTGTTTTCTGTACATGGGCTATCAGCCATTCTTGTGCTTCTCGTATCTCTAGTCCAGTTAAAGGAGTTGAAAGACTCTCTTCTTCTTTCAACTTCGAGTTGCGAATGAATCTTCTGATCCATGCAACAGTTCTTAACAATCGACTGTACTTGCTGAACCTGGCGTAGTAAATAAACGGTTCTCTAGTTTGGACAACACAGCTGCCAAGAGCTTTACTCTTCCTCTCCCCTTGTACTGCTTCATTTGGAGACTAGGATCGTCAATCCTCTGGCCAATCCTTTTCTAACTCTTGCAACCAAAAGAGCCCCTTCCAGCACAACTGACTCTCTCTAAGCTGGCTGACAGATAAGCCTCGGCTAGGTAGATCTGCTGGATTATGCGACCCTGGGCAATATCTCCAAACACTAGGATGCAACAGCGACTGAATCTCCATGACACGGTTAGCAACAAATGGTTTCCACTGTGAGGCTGATCCTCTGATCCAGTGTAAGGTGAAAGAATTGTCCGTCCAACAGACAATGCGGCTAATAGGACAGTAAATTGCATCTTTAACATAGATACACAGTCGAGCAGTTATCACTGCAGCTATTAGCTCCAAGCGAGGGAGACTAACTTTTCGCACAGGAGCAACTCTTGTCTTAGACATCACAAGGCTTGTAGACGCCTTCCCTTTTTTAGGAACAACTCTGATATAGATGGCGGTGGCATACGCAACTTCTGATGCATCACCAAATGCGTGTAACTCCACCTTTGCATGCTGGCTTAAAGGCCAATCAATGTAACTTCTTGGAATGTGAAGCTGTTCAAGCTCTGAAAGCTCTTGAACCCACTTCCTAGAGGTTTCTTCAGGTAACTCATCATCTCAACCAACACCCTGGGTCCACAGACTCTGAAGCAAAAGTTTTGACCTTACTGTAAAAGGCGAGATGAGACCGATCGGATCGAAGATCTTTGCTGCTAAAAGCTAGTTCTCCCTTAGTGTACAATGTCTCTGATTTCAATTTCAGAGAGTCCAATTCAATCATAAAGACAAGGCTGTCTGTTCTCGTATTCCACTTTAGACCTAAAGCTTTCGTAACTGGATGCATTCCCGGTAGTTCACTCTCCAATCCGATCAAACTATCTGATGCTCTATCTTTCTCAGGAATGGCTTGCATAACCTCAGGCGAATTGCTGGACCATTTTGTCAAATTGAAAGCTGCTTGCTCCATAAGCTGTTTTGAACTTTGCTGTAACCTCACGGCTTCACGTACAGTATCTTTCCCTGAGGCAAAGTCGTCAACGTAAGTGTTCCTCAGGATTTCATCTGATACTTCAGGGAATGTTTCTTTCTTCTTTTCTTCCTTGCGTGCTCTAGAGTAGTGCAGATGGCAAGGAATGGACTAGAAATAACTCCAAACGTAACTCTTGGGTCCAAATCTCTCCACAGGAAAAGATGTGAATCCCTATCTTCTTCTATCTTCAAGAACATCTTTTCAACATCACCCATGACCCCCACCTGATTCTTTCTGAAGCGCAGAAGAATTCCAACCAAATCTGGGTGCAATGCAGGGCCCGCTTGTAAGCAACTATTTAGAGACACACCATTTAAATCTCTCGCGGATGCATCAAATACAACCCTCGTCTTAGTTGTTTGCTTATCTTCTCGGAAAACAGCATGATGTGGAAGGTAAAACACAGGACGCCCATCTGCTGGTGCATACTGCTCATAGGGTACTTCTTCTGCTACTCCGTCCTCCACATACTTATTAATGGCCTCTTGGTAGGACTTGGGTTTGGATGAATCTTGGAGCAGATTCCTCTCCAGATTATACAGCCTACTTCTTGCTTGCTTGTAATTATCTTTCAGTACA